TCTTCTTAGCGTGGATACCAGCATACAAGTGTCACATATGCAAGGCTCACTTTTGTGAAATTACAAGTTATCAGGTAAAGCATCAAGTTCAAAATAAATTAAATATCTAACTTGACATAGTCATCACTTCATTTGCCATTACAAAGCTGAATGTTTATTCATTGCCAATTTTTGCATAATATCAAGCCAAACAAACCAGATAAGCACGCTCAAGCCACGAAGATGATATGGAAATCAGATAGCATATCAAACCCCACATGAATTCCAGATTAAACATGGATCAACCATCAATATTGCAATTATGTTTTCATCACTGTGTCAAATTAATCCTTGTGGAAGTCACAATTTTTACTATGCCATAAATCAACCAGTTCTCATGATGATGTGAACTCCACTATCAGTGTCCACAATGTCACTTATCTCCCCAACCTTCAGTGCATATGTTGCTTCTTCAAAAGGCTTCTGCATCTGACCCCTGCCAAATGAACCTGCATGCATTATAGATTCTCAGAAGTTGGATAAGATAAAAATCATCTCTTAGTTAATGTAGCAAGATGTTTATAAATAGTTATAATTCAATGCGAAACTTTCACGTCAGTAAACAGACTGTTCTCGTATGTCCATCAATACAAAAATTGGCATATCACAGGATTGCATACACAGGAGTAGGCACAGATTTTGTGAATCTTTTGTAATGTGACAGATACAGCAATACTGGAACGCATAAGTTTTTGAACTCCGTCAGCTCCAACAAGAAAATATGGCAGCTATTCAAAAAAGGTAAAATATTTTAATAGATATTCCGATGTCACAGGATCCTTATCACAACTAACAGAGGAGGAATGGACAGGGGGATATACTTCCATTCTTTATTATACTTTCATGAAAGTCGAGTGTTCCAAGGCTTCTCAAACGTGAATACAATTTCAATCCATTGCACCTAACCCACCTCCCTAATCAGGTGGACATATCAGTCTCATGCAGGAGCATCTCAGTCTGCATGCCACCTTCCACATTGGTGGTAGGTAATTGGGCTTTGTGGCATATTCTCCCCAGAAATACATATAAAAAACAACCACCATCTCATTTAACCATTTTGCCCTAGTTTTCCCTCTTTTAACAAAAAGTCGAGAGATTTCATCACATCAATCTCCCACCCCCCAGTCCAACAAAAAAATGGGTAGGGTTGTCCTTCAACTGGACACTAAACACCCTCAAACCCCCTGAATTTGAAGGTTGTAGCGTGATAAATGGATGATTAGGTTAAAAGATAGAACAAATGGTAGGGTTCTCATGGATTGATCAGTTTGATGAAATTATAGACAACGTGATTAGGTGGCCAAAGGGATATGTCATACACTGTCCGAAAAGTATTTTTGTTGCTTATAAGAGATTAACTTTAAGTACAGGATTTTCTCTTCTTGTTATAAATTTTGCTTTTATATTTGGACTTTATTACATGTATATCACTCTTTACATAATGTCATATGTCACTCTATCATTTGTCAATTTAAAATACTGTCAACTTTTTCATCCAATCTTTTCCCTCCATGTCATTTTATGTAATCCCTTATATACAAGTAGCATAATCCTTTACATTTTATGTGCTTTTCTTCTTTTTCCTTTTTTTTTTTTTTTTGGGGTGTGCTGGGGGGTTGAATGAGCCAAAAATCTCAACACCCAAGTTGCAAGAAATTTGTCGAAATGACAAGTTCAGTTCCTTCCTATATACTACCAGAACGCAAAGTGTTAAAGTTGTTAGCGATTACAGTTGGGGCGTTCATATTTTTAGAGATAGCATCATGATTGTTATATTCGATGTATTAAAACCTATTCCGAGTGTAAATCTCCTATCATAGATAAGAGAAATGTTAATACCAAAGCAATTAATGTATAGTGGAAACTGTTGGCACTTCTAAACGATGGAATGTCCATACTTTACATTACACAATTTTGATATCTAGATACCAAAATGAGTACAGCAGTACATGACCTGCTGTTTCATGTCAGACACTCAATGCTGAAATGGCAGGTTGGCAGCCTTCTTATTCATACAGCTAAAAATTCGCATCCAGCTTGATCTTGTACTAGAGAAGCCCACGAGAGCCCTACTTCAGATGCAAATTTGCAAGGTCACAGACCAAATTACAATATGAAACCACAAAATTATGTAGCCCTTGTTTGATACCCATTTTTCCCAGAATACATTTCTCTCTCTCTTATTTTTAATCATACACTCTTCAATAAAATAATATTACACGCAAAAATAAATTTTTTCCTTATTTTCTAACCACACATTTTTCAACAATCACTATTACAAAATGCATTTTTACTATGAAAATGAGAAACAAACAGGCTGGTAACTAAAATCTGTTTAGCAGCTGCAATGACCTACTATTGGGAAGGCCATTCCAGCTACTATTTTCTTTTAGCAACTACAAGGCTTGGAATACCTACTCTCATTGAAAACATCTTTCTAGCTAGCACCATCTAGCTTATTTCATCAAACCCTCATCCCCTTATCTAGACTGAGAAAAACCCATCCTTGAAGAGTTTGACAACACAATTTCCTTCACTTGCACAGCCTAACTCTTATTCCATTTATTATTTACCACCATCATCTCCATCTCCACCTCTCTTATTCCATCTCCATCTCATCTCTGCCCATCTCTGTCATTGAGCCTTACCTAACTATTCCACTTGCATCCAATGCCATCTATTATCATCTGGTGCCGCCAAATCTCCATCTCCACCCTCACTACATCTAGCCCAGCACTAGCTCAACTAATTCACAGGTTAGGTCATTAATCCTTTAGAGGTTATACACAGTTCTTTACTGTGATAAGGTGACAAAAATACTTGGTTTTTGAATTACACATGGTTTTTTACGTTGTTTTACGAGTTTGTATTCAATGAATTGTTTATAATGCATATTCATTATACTTATGTATTGAGCAATTAATTTATTAGGTTTACAATTTTCTTTTTTTGTATATAAAATGAACAAAATAATTAAAAACCAGCATTCTCTTAACCTCTTTTAGCACTTGATCAATCAAATACTAAGTTTTTAGGCATTATTATCCATCATAAAGATAATAACAAAGATTTTAATTATTTCCTTTTGTCATTAGATAATAATTAGACAAAAATTTGTTGTGGGAATGTTAAACAATAAGATGGACTAGTCTAGTGGTAACTTGATTGACATAATGCCCAAAAGTTTTTGTGATCGAAACTTGAAAAAGCTGTCCTTGTCTCTTTTCCAACGACAAACCAGCGGCATTGAACTGGGCATCCAATTTTCGTTAAACCAGCTGGGCTTGACAGATATTGAATGGTTCAGTTGTGAAAAGATCGTAATAGAATAACTTGACCACTGTGCAGTCCAGTTCACCTGAACTTTTAGTGGGCCACCCAATATTTTGATTTCGATTACCATGATTGTAGTTTAGATAGATAGAGGAATTTTTTATGTTTGAGAAACTAGTAATTTTGCAAAACTTCAGGTTTCAAGTTGATCCTCTATTGAAGAATTTGTGAAACATTAACAATCTTTAATGTTTGAATTGCTTACAAGTTGATTTTGATGTTTTACATAAATTAATATATGGTGACTAAGGAAATTGGGTTTTGGTAATGGGAGTTTTAATTATTTAAAACATAAGCAGTCTCTACTGCTATGTGTTTATGCCTATAATCAAACAAATTAATGCACAATGGGAAAAGGAAACCTAAAATTAATGTCTGCTTTAAGTCAAGTCCACTAACATCATTAGAATTCCATCACAAAGGCAAGGAAATAAACATACCAACCACTTTCTAGGTGGAATACTTCAGAGAATGGCAATTCCATCCTACGAAATTTTAGGTACCATCAACGGCCTAAGCACACAGACATGCTCATGCATAGACATATGCTATTCCATCCCAGGCAATTTTAAGTACCAAAAATGGCCAAGGCACATACACATTCTCATGCGTAGACAAAAAAGGAAAAACTGCATCTCTCCATCGACTAAGGTCAAATTAGCTTTTGTTGATCAAGGATCAAGGACTCTAGTTCCTAAAATTTAGAATGGTTAAAGAACATATATTTGACTTCTGAAGTATCATATTCTTTGACTGCTTAGACTAGGCAAAATTTCATGGAGGGGGTAATTCTTGCAAAAAAATTGCCCAACACGACTTTACTTTGTAACCTTTTCTTTATTTCCCTTTATGCTTCGCGTATTTTGGTTCTCCATTTTTTGGGGGTTTTCAGGGGGAGGAGGAGGGCCTATCACGAGCATCTGCATCAATAGTCAATACACTGCCCCCTCCTTAAATTTCCCCTTATAAACAAAACTAGCAACGGTTTCGGCAATAAAAGCACCAATTCAGTAAAGATAAGTACCAACGATATTACTCTCCTTTCGTCATTCCTTTATGTTTACTCAACAATTGAATGGAAGTGGACGCGTTAGATTTCAGATATTGTAATAACAATTAATATATATCCCAGTCACATAAAAAACAAAGCAACATAAAACAGCAGCAATGACGGTAGAAAAGAGGTATAGTTCTACAAACCCAGATCCCCGCCACGCTTGGCGGAGCTGCAATCGGAGTAACGGGAAGCGACATCTGAGAACGAGGCTTTGCTGGAGACGATGTCAACGCGTAGGTCCTTGAGCTGCGAAACTGCATCGTCACGGGTGGTGGCGCTGATAACACGGCCTTCAGGATCCTTCCAGGAGGCCTTACGGCGGGAGCCCTGATGCTTTATGAGTATATGGGAAGCCCTAACTTTTTCAGATGAAGATGAGGACATTTTGGTCCTTTTCTTATTACTGTGCTTAAGGTTGTGGCTATGGCGAACGTGGCTTCGATCTGTAGAAGAGATCGAAGTGTTCTTTCTCTTCCGTTCGGATTCTATTCTTGCAGATTTGCAGATTGATTTCTCTCCCACTGAGACACCGTAAAAGGCGTGTGCATATAGAGGAATTTGGCCATTTGGCCAATGTATTAGATGAAATGTACTTTGATCAATAATAAAAATAAATAAATAATGTAAAATATTTTAATTGACAAAATGATAAAACTTTTCTTTAGTTGTTGCCTTAATGTTTTCCAATTTTTCTCATTTCACCTCGTTATTTTTCCTTCAAATGCATTTTAGAACCCTAATTTCTTTTTTTTTTCTTTTGAAGATAACATCTTCTTCCCCTGTATTTTTCCTTCAAATGCATTTTAGAACCCTAATTTCTTTTTTTTCTTTTGAAGATAACATCTTCTTTCCCTTTTCATTTTATTCAATTTTAAGTTTTCAAAATTACATTCACTTATTTTCTTCTCTTCAATCACATTTGAACAAGAGTTTGGTTAGCATACATTTACATAGAAAGAAAGAGGAAAGATGATCTTATAAATCTAATCTATGTTGCATTTTTATTATTAAATATAGTATTAAATAATATTTAGTTGGTATTGTTTGCGTATTTAGTGTGTTTTTTTTGTTATTTGCTACCATTGGATGTAATAACACTATAATTACTATTTGAAATATAGAACACCACTCCAGCCATTATCTGTAAAGTAAAACGATACTACAGTCGTTATCTGCTGTAATTTAATTTTTTCAAAGAAATGAATCTAATAATGGATTCGCTAATATATATAACACAAAAATATTGACCAGTTACAAAGAACGATTGAAACGACATATAATTTTTATATTGTTGAGATGGTGAAAATACAAGTTATCAAATTTATATGTGTCGATTAAGTTAATAAACATATCTATCAATTTTTGTACGCGTTATGTACATATTATAATACAAATAAGTTTCAGTTATTATTTTTCAGGAAAAGAATGGACCGTGACTACTTATACTCATATTTATATACGTAGCAGCATGAGTATCGTTTTCATATCCAGTAACGACACAAGTGTCATTACGAAATTTTCGCCAACATCCGATTTTTTTAACAAAACAACATTTAATAATGGACTCCCTAACATATGTAATATAGAAAGTTTGACAATGTCATAGATAACGTAAATGAGTTCCACTATTTGTTCGCGGAATATAGATTAGACGTAGCTGCTTTTACTCGCGTTAACACGTATAGTCTTTGTTTGAGCCTCATTTTACATTAAAATGTATTTTTGAACAGTAATTTGATCTCATTTTAACCACAAGTTTCTTCAATAAAATAATATTACACACAAACTTAAAAAAATTTCTTATTTTTTAACCATACATTCTCCATCATAACACTATTACGAAATTCATTTGTTAAAAAAAGGGGGCTCAAACAACACCATAATGACACAATGGTCATTTAACGGCACTTGTGCTATTCTATTGATTTTTCCTACATTTTTGTTAATATCTTTTAAATTAAATATTTGCGTTTTAATTATACATCTATCTCTAATTTGTTGTTGTTTCATGATAATGACATATGTTACGTTATTAAAAATATAAGCATCCATGAAAATGATACAAGTGTTGTTACTGAAGTTATAAGAGAAAGATGAGAACGATATAAGTGTTTTCATGTTTGTTACAAAATTTCATTAGAACGGAGCAAACATCATTACTCAAATGAAAATGTTTATGATTCATTAGGGGGTCCAATATATGAAATTATTGTACTGGAATAAAATCAAAATATAGGAAAAATCAACAGAACGGCACAAGAGCCGTCATTGAAATGAAAACGTCCCTTCCATCCTTCTATCTATAAATATGAGTTGAAAAATATGCTCATTAATTGTAAGTCTAGCATCCTAATGATGGCATAACTGCTGTTATAATTATAAATTTACTTATCCATGAGAACGACACTTGTGCCGTTACTAAGATGAGAACATCACTTGTCTATAAGAATGACACTTGTATCGTTATCGAGATGAAAACGTTTACGAGAACGGCACAACTATCACTATATTTGATTTATAAATGTCCATGAAAATGAAACAAATGCTATTACAGTAGTTAAAAAGTCCCTAAGAACGGCATCAGTGTCGTTATTGAGACGAAAAATTCTAAGAGAACAGCACAAGTGACATACATAAATATAAACTTCTATTATTACTATGAGAACTGCACAACTTAGGGCGTCCAAATATAAAGGTCATTGCATTGAAAACAAATGAAAATAAAGAAGAAATCAAAAGAACAATTCATGTGTCATTACTAATAATAAAACGACACTTGCGCCGATCTGTTTATCATTACGATTTTAAGCAACCACGACCCGCCCTCGCCTCGTGAAATAATAAGTTGAATCCATTTAACTTGTAAGGTGGATAAGGCATTTTAAAAAAATTAAGAGATATATTCATTACTTGTATTTTGTTGAAAATAATAAAATCACTTGTATCGATACTGAGATGAAAAGTTCTAAGAGAACAGCATAAGTGTCATTTAGAGGATGAAAATGTCATTGAGAACGTCACTTGTGTCATTACTAAGATGAAAAGTTCTTAAAAAACGACACAAGTGTCGTTGCCTAAACATAATTTTTCCATGAGAACAGCACTTGTGCCATTATTGTAAAGAAAACGACACTTGTGTCGTTCCATCTATAAATATGAATATAGGCAACCACGATTCATCCATGACCCAAAACTCATTTCAACTGCAAGATGGATGTGCCATTTACAAAATTTGAGAGATGTGCTCATTAATTATATTTTCTAACGAATTAATACAATAACTTATGATTTCACCAACTCGACATTGTATGACTTATATCAATTCAACTGTTCTTTGTCACATGATCAACCTTTCTAACTTTCTTAAATTAGTAGACCCATGTTTGAGGTCGCTATGTTGGAAAAGAAGTAAAATATTGATGAAATCAATATAACGACATAAGAGCTGTTAAACAACACTTGTGTCATTCTGTCTATAAAGACGAGTATATGTAGCCATGACCTATCCATGCCCTGAGAATCAATAAGTTGAACTTATTTCAATTACAACATAAACATTTCATTTACAAAAGTTGAGAAATATGCTTATTGATTATATTTTCTAACGAATCAATACAAGACTTGTGATTTTCACCAACTCAATGTTGTATAACTATGTCAATTCAACTGCTCTTTTTCTCATGATCAACTTTTCTAACTTTCTTAAATTAGGAGATCTAATGTTTAAGATTGTTGCATTGAAAAAGAAGCAAAATGTTTGTGAAATTAATAGAACGATATAAGGGCTGTTAAACGACACTTTTGTCATTCTGTCTATAAAGATGAGTATACGTAGTCACAACCCATCCATGCTTTGAAAATCAATAAGTTGAATTCATTTCAATTGCAATATGAACATTCTGTTTACAAAAGTTGAGAGATGTGCACAATAATTATATTTTCTAATGAATCGATACAATAACTTGTGATTTCACCAACTTAATGTCGTATAATTTATATCAATTCAACCGTTCGTTGTCTCATGATCAATCTTTCTAACTTTTTAAAGTAAGGAGATCTAATGCTTGATGTTGTTGCATGGAAAAAGAAACAAAATATTTAAGAAATTAACAAAATGACACTACAATCTATGCCAATTTTACCGTTATTCGCCACGTAATCAATAATTCTAACTTTCTTATGTTAGGAGGTCCGATCCATGAGGTCGACGCTATGAAAATGAAGCGAAATATAGGAGAAATCAACAGAATGACACAGGTGTCATTAAACGTTACTTGTGTCGTTTCTGTCGATAAGCACGAGTATGAGCAGCAGTGAGCCTTCCATGCCTTGATATTCTATAATTTGAACTCATTTAAGTTGCAAGATGGACATGATGCTCATATAATTTGAGAGATACTTTCATTACTTTTGTTTTCCAACGAATGTAGATGGTAACTTGTGATTTTATCAACGCGATATCTACAATCTATGCCAGTTCTATCGTTTTTCGTTACGTAATCAATAATTTTGACTTTCTTATATTAAGAGGTCCGATCCTTGAGGTCGACGCGGTGGAAATGAAGCGAAATATAGAAAAAACAAACAGAATGGCACAAGAACATCACTTGTGTCGTTCTATCGATAAACACGAGTATGAGCAGCCACTAGCCTTCCTGGCCTTGATATTCTATAATTTGAGCTCATTTCAGTCGCGAGATGGATATGATGCTCACATAATTTAGGAGATACTCTAATTACTTTTGTTTTTCAACGAATGTGGATAATGACTTGCGATTTCATCAACGTGACATCTACAATCTATGCCAGTTTTACCGTTATTCGTCACATAATCAATAATTCTGACTTTCTTATGTTAGGAAGTCTGATCATTGAGGTCGATGTGGTGGAAATGAAGCGAAATATAGGAGAAACCAACAGACGACACAGGTGCCGTTAAACGTCACTTGTATCGTTCTGTCGATAAACATAAGTATGAGTAGTCACGAGCCTTCCTGACATTGATATTCCATAATTTGAACTCATTTCAGTTGCGAGATGGACATGATGCTCACATAATTTGGGAGATACACTCATTACTTTTGTTTTCCAATGAATGCGGATAGTGATTTGTGATTTCACCAATGCGACATCTACAATCTATACCAATTCTACCGTTATTCGTTACGTAAGCAATACTTTTGACTTTCTTATGTTAGAAGGTCCGATCCTTGAGGTCGACACAAACGAAATGAAGCGAAATATAAGAGAAACCAATAGAACGACACAGGTGTCGTTAACGTCACTTGTGTCGTTTCGTCGATAAATATGAGTATAAGCAGCCACGAGCCTTCCTGGCCTTGATATTCCATAATTTGAACTCATCTAAGTCGCGAGATGGACATGATGCTCACATAATTTGGTTGGGAGATACTCTATTACTTTTGTTTTGCAATGAATGTGGATGGTGACTTGTGATTTCATCAACGCGACATCTACAATCTATGCCAATTCTACCGTTATTCGTCACATAATCAATAATTCTGACTTCCTTATGTTAGGAGGTTCGATCGTTGAGGTTGACGCGGTGGAAATGAAG